ACTCTCTCTCTCTTTATATATACACACACACACACACACACACACACTCTCACAGAAAAGTATATAATACAACTACATTGAAATATAGAAATATAGCTACATATAAGCTAGCGCTGCTGTTGCTAAAGGAGAGCTCACCGTCGGCGGGCTGCTGGAAGTTGACGTAAGCGTAACCGAGCGAGCGGCGGGGCATCATGTCCCTGCAGACCCGGATGGAGAGGATGGGCCCGGCCGGACTGAACTTCTCGTACAGCATGGCCTCGGTCACGTCCGCGTGCAGGTCGCCCACATACAGAGAAGCCATCGGGTAACTGGGCGCGCTGGGGTTCATCTTCCCTCACGAGACGCGGACCTGATCGAACACACCCAAAACTGCTCGCGTTCCTCCTCGAAGACGCTCACGCGGTCGAACACTCTTCAGGAACCGACCCGAAGACGAACTAAAACGCGTGTGGCGTCGATGTTTCGGCGGGATCGCTGATTAAAATCTCCTCAGGCCTACTGCGGTGCTGCGCTGCGATCAAACTCCTCAAAGCTGCCCGCGGATCCTGCTTCACCGAGCTCCTCGGTAATAAAAGTAGAATTTTTGTTGGTATTTTTTCCGTTTTGTGAATTTTTTTTGGGTATTTTTAGTTTTTTATATAAGATGTGTGCCGAGGCTCTGAGGCACACGCGCTCTCTCTCGCGCCGCAGAAGGTAGGGGGAGAGAAGCGGAAGTGCGTCTCTGAAGAAGGCGTCCTCGCCGGATGTTGCGTGAGCTTCCTTTATAGCTTTACGTAAGAGCAGAATAAGAGTCCGCGGTGCTGCTCGGAGAGTGAACGTAAAGGTCACGCATTGGTCATATGAAGGTCAAGATAAAACAGCCGTATTATTGATATATAATACATTTCATATACATTCACAACAAGATGGAAGGCGGATTCCGCCAGGGGATAAACATTAAACATTTAAAAAAATACAAAATAAAAGTTAGATATGTTAACTCAGAATTTAGGAGATATATACTGATATAGTGAAAACAGAATTAGGGGGAAATCTCAATTACTTTTTTTTAAATGCAGAAACTAGCTTCCATAGTCAAAAATACAGCTGCAATCAGTTAGTCTCTTTATTTCTCTGTTTTTATTAATATTCTTTATTTAGCTGTACTTACTAATACGTGTCATCTAAAGTGACGTACAGTATTTATTCAGTACACTCTTTTTTATATTTATCTTTGCCTTTATTACAACAGGACAGCTCACAGCTGACTGCGAGCGAAGTGGGAGAGATTCTTTAATGTGGAGCATGAAGTGTGGTATTGTGATATTAGACCAAACAAAAGAAAACGCTAAAATATAAACGTCTTGCGCAAAGCAAACCAGGAGAAAAACTATGGTGGCAGAGAAGTGCAAAACAAATCACAATTCAGAAAACATTCTAACATTATAATTTGAGACCGCGCCTTCCAAGCAGCATAACTAAATGCCCGTTGACCCATATTAGTACGAAATTTACTTTCACTGTTATGGAAGTAAACTAACGATACATTTCTTTGAAACAAAAAGCATAAAAAATGCATTGCATTAATAATGCTTGTATTGTGTTAATGCATTATTTGCATTTATGTGCATTTATATTAATGGATTTTTTGTTTGTTTTAATGGTTTGGCAATATTGTATGTAAACACAATCATGCCAATAAAGTTAATTAAATTTGATTAATTACACTAAAAGTAGTACCCAGTGAACTGTTTGTATTTAGTGACAATAGCTTTTTATTGCACAGGTTACATCTGCCTCGACTTAACTTTAAAGTTGAAAAATTAAGTATGCATTGCATACACACACACACACACACACACACACACACACAGACACAGACACAGACACAGACACACAACACAGACACACACACACACACTCACTCACAGACACAGACACAGACTCACACACACACACTCACTCACACTCACAGACACAGACTCACACACACTCACAGACACAGACACACACAGACACACACACACACACACACTCACCCACACTCACAGACACTCACACACACACACACACACACACACACACACACTCACACTCACAGACTCACACACACTCACAGACACAGACACACACAGACACACACACACACACACACTCACCCACACTCACAGACACTCACACACACACACACACACACACACACACACACTCACACACACACACACACACACACACCCACACACACACACACACAGACACACTCACAGACACAGACACAGACACTCACACACACACACACACACACTCACAGTCACCTTCTCCTTGTAATACCTGTCATACCTTTGTCATTATCATTTGTCACAAAAACGCACACGCACACACATACACACACACACACACACTCACACTTCAGAAAGAAATCACACATTAAAACAACGAGGGATGCACGATATTAGATTTTGCTGATAAAAAAATCTCAAAGTACTCAACTCCATTACTTGAGTGAAAGTACAGATACCGCTGGTCAAATATTACTCCATTACAAATAAAAGTTGTAAAGACAGATTTTTACTTAAGTAAAAGTACAGAAGTACTTGCTTTTAAAAGTACTTAAGTACCAAAAGTAAATTTCCTTTTTTATGTCAATGCACTGTTTTATTGTAATGCTCGCAATACTTCTGAAGCAACTTAGAATACATTACTCCTGCTGAATACACTGACTAGCTTGTAGTATATTTGAAATATAGAGCTTTTAGAATGTTAAAAACCTATGGGGAAAAAAACAAAACAAAACAAAAAAACATTTAACACCCCTACCCACCCCCACAAAAGCAGGATGGTAGTGATCTCACACAGCTCTGACAGTGCGTGCACACATCTATGTAGCCACTGATAAGAAAGAAAGAAAAAAATCGAACCTGCTTTAAAACCCAGCAACACAACTGTAGCTGTACAACTTTACAACAGCAACACTGCTTTAACAAAAAAGCAAAACAGCAAGACTTATTTGACATCAAAACAAATTTTAAATGCTGTCTAATCACTCTCGCTGTACTTTGATGTCACACACAGAACAGTCTGTGCAGTGCTGCTTCAAGTCCAACACCTTTTGTGTTTTATTAGGAGACGCACAACAGTTCTTCTGTGGCTTTATAGCACAATTGAGCAAAATCAGCCAATATTGTGTCTAATATATACCACAATATTAACTTCTTATTATTGAATTGTTGTAAATAAATATAACATTTGCAGCTGGTCAGTGCTCAAAAAATGCTGGGAAATCTTTTCATGTAGCCCTACAAGAGTGATTACTGATAAACCGTCTGAAAAAAAGAGTCACATTTTAGAGAATAAAAAAAAATCACCCACTGACTTTCAAAAGCTGCTATATAATAACGACTTTCTACTTCGAGGACCTTGATAGAAATGTAGAGGAGTGAAAAGTATAATATTTGCAAAAACATATTTGTTAGGAGTAATAAACTTTATTAAAGTTATTTTTTAATGAAAGTACATTGAAACCCTTGAAAATAACTGTAATAAAATCAATCTCTGCTGTTTTTTTCTCAGACAGATGCAGTTGAAACCTTAACATTTGATTTGTGGTTTTAACATTAATAGATGGTCTAAAGCAGAAGAGCTGTAAAAATTCAGAAAATCTTTTAGAGCTCCTTATATTTAAGTTTTCATAATCCGTTTGTATAACCAACAAGTGTCATGTTTGTGATTTTTATTCATGTAAATACTGCGATGCTGCTTTTTTTATTCAGAAACACACTTTCATTTTATTACAAGTAGGCCAACAGCGCCTCCTGAGTAAATAAAACGCCTTACCGGATGCACACTAGAGAATTTTAAGGCCGATTTTAAGGCCGATTTGCACCCCCGAACGATATTTACGACTTTTGATCGGGCTGCCTCTGACGTGATACCCGCGATAGCCAATGAGAGCGAGCAAGCGTGCGAAACTTGGCAGCCACAAACATGCCATGAAAGCAGAGAACATCACCCATATTCTTTTCTATACTTTGTTTTTCACTGTACAACAGAACACGTGCCGGGAGAGCCAGCCGACAACATCGATTGTCCTCTATCCGTTTTTCTTCTCTAGTCACGTTTGATCTCGCGAGTGTCCGTGAGATCTCGTGTCACTGTAAAACCGTTCCTACAGTCGACAAGTGTGTGGTCTCGTGGTCAGGTCGGGTCTAGTGTGTTCATCTATGTGTGTGTGTTCAGAGGATTATACTAACATGTCTTCATGTCTGTGGTCTCCCATGGTTTTAAAATCTTTTAAGATTTGAAAATCGTCTAGTGTGCAGCCAGCTTAACTCTATCGCACACCGGATGCATCATCTTGTACGTGCATTCTCAAATTAAACGCAGCAAACCAAAACAGTGTATCTAATCATCACTCTGGCAAAAGTTGGCTTCAAGAATGACCACACTGCTGACTTGATCTAATCGCTAGCACACCCTGAGCGCGTACGTGTGAGCTATCCGTCTTATCGGCAGTGTTGGGGAAAGTTACTTTTAAAAGTAATGCATTACAATATTGCGTTACTCCCTAAAAAAGTAACTAATTACGTTAGTTACTTTTTATGGAAATTAATGCGCTATGTTACTTTTGAGTTACTTTTTAAATCTGGGCAGGGCTTGCTTGTTTGTCTTTAATATAAAAACTTTCTTCTTGTACAAATGTAACAATCCACATGAGTCCACATGAACAATAAACTGGATTAAGAACTCTGAAGCCATCTACAAGAAGGGCCAGAGCCGCCTCTATTTTTTTGAGGAGGCTGAAGTCCTTTAACATCTGTAGGACGATGCTGAAGATGTTCTACAAGTCTTATTTTTATTTCTTGAATATAGATTTCTATTTGTATTTTGGAGCTGCGGTAATATTTCTTTATATTTTTCCTTCCCCTGCTCCGTGTACACAGAATAACACTGAACTCCTGGTTCTGTCTTGAATGAATCGGGTGCGTCAGTCGGTCACATGTGTAAGTTCTGACACCTTGTTTGGAATGTAAATATTTATTAACCCTTTGCAGGATTCTTTCCCCCTTTTCAATAGCAAAATATGACAAAAATGAACATATAACGTAATAAATAAAGTGTAAGCCACTGAGGTGTATTCTGGTAGTGTAACAGCAGGTGGCAGCAGAACACAAACTACTGTCAGTCAGTCACAGTGTATCCCAGCGTGCTCTGCTCCTCAGTATCTGCTGTGTTCGTCTGTGGCCGTGACTATAACGTCCATCCAGATCCTCATGGCTTCAGCGCTGTGAGCCACCAGGAAAAAGAGCCGCTCATAGGTTTTGACGCAGAAGGTGAGGCTCGGCCGCGGAGACTGAGAACCAACAATAAACATCTGAAATTAGGGGTTTTTTAGGGTTAGGGTTTCGTGTGTGTGGTTATGAACTCACTGATGTAGCTGTTCGCAGATGGTCGTAATAAACCTCCTTGATGGCCTGGAAGTAAATCACGCCTTTGAGTTTCTTCTCATTGAGTTCTGACGAAACAAGGAGATTTCAGCACAGGATCATACGCTGAAGATCCTTTAGTGCGCTAATGCAGCGATTCAAAGTGATATTGCGTTCCCAAATGCAGAGATGGAGCTGGTGAAAGCAGCATTGGCTGTGCAGGAGGTGTTTGTGTGTGTCTCACCGGTGTAGTAGGCCAGTCTCTGGTGGTCCAGATCGAAGATGAACCACCTCCTCCTCCAGGTCTTCACTCGTCCTCCGCGTTTGGTCAGAAAGCCGCCGCACCTCCGGGGAGACAGATTGACCCCCATACAGCCCGACACGTTATGACCCAGAGCCTCCACGTGAGCCCGCAGGTCAAAGTTCACCGTCAGAGACAGCGGGACGCCCTGCTGAACGAGAAAAACACATTTGCATTACGTTTAGCCATTTAGCAGCCGCTTTTATCCAAATGAGGACAATGGAAGCAATCAAAACAACAAAAGAGCAATGATACGCAAGTGCTATAACAAGTCTCAGTTAGTGCACCTAGCAAGGTTTTTGTTAATTATATAATAGATAAAAAGAAAACATACATAGAATAGAAAAAGAATAGAGCAAGCTAGTGTTAGAGGCCTTTTTTTAATAGAAAACAAATAGAGTGCAAGTCTTAAAGGATCATGTTTTATTTTTTTAAATAAAAAAACAACAACAAATAGATAAAATAGAATTATAAAACGGAGAGTTCCGGTGCTTGGCTCTGATTGGCTGAGCCGCGTTCTAAGCTGTTGTAAATGACTCTACAAAGTAACACACCTTTGTTTACGTTTGTGTGTTGCTCGGCAACCACTTTGTAGCAACCACAACTGTTTCTGAGGAGCTACATTGTTTGGTGGAAGAATACTGTGTTTATTAATATCATTACACTTTATTTTGTATTAATTTTTTTATTTATACTTGATGTTGAACACAATCACAATACAAAGCTAAAACTACTTCAGATTCAGGTAAACTGATGGAAACAGTCAACAGTTTCTGTGCCGTTTTTGCCAAAATGGATTTAAAAACGGTCAAATCCAATGTTCATATCAAACCATGATAAACACAAGGACGATTTTCAGGTCTGTTCCTCACACAAAACACAGTTAATATTCAGTTATGTTATTGATTTGACTGTACTGATATTATCAGATGAGAACAAAACCTGAACTGAATCGATCTGAATAATGACTCTATTGTCTCCTGTAGAGCCGCTTTACAGCTAAACCTGAGTTTGTTTCATAAATTATGGATTTTAAATAAATAATAATTATTTTCCTGTTTATTACTGTGAAGCGCTATGGAAATAAATGTGACTGTAGCAACCACAACTGTTTCTGAGGAGCTACATTGTTTGGTGGAAGAATACTGTGTTTATTAATATCATTACACTTTATTTTGTATTAATTTTTTTAATTTATACTTGATGTTGAACACAAGAACACAATCACAATACAAAGCTAAAACTACTTCAGATTCAGGTAAACTGATGGAAACAGTCAACAGTTTCTGTGCCGTTTTTGCCAAAATGGATTTAAAAACGGTCAAATCAAATGTTCATATCAAACCATGATAAACACAAGGACGATTTTCAGGTCTGTTCCTCACACAAAACACAGTTAATATTCAGTTATGTTATTGATTTGACTGTACTGATATTATCAGATGAGAACAAAACCTGAACTGAATCGATCTGAATAATGACTCTATTGTCTCCTGTAGAGCCGCTTTACAGCTAAACCTGAGTTTGTTTCATAAATTATGGATTTTAAATAATTAACACTGTTATTTTCCTGTTTATTACTGTGAAGCGCTATGGAAATAAATGTGACTTGACTTGAAAAACATCATATGACTTTAGACTGAGTACAGTGCATGATTCATATGGACTTTGAGTTTGAAAGAATAAATCCCTAAACAGTTTCATTATATGTAAAAAAACAAAACGAGGTCAGTCATTCTGCCTCACATCAACATTTGTTTCATGAAAGTAAAAATACAAGGGTGAGTTAAAGATGTCTATGATGATCTATTCCTTTAAAGGAGATGCAAATTAGCTGAAAATGCTGCATTGCATGTCTGTGCAGTGAATGGGTGCCGTCAGAATGAGAGTCCAAACAGCTGATAAAAACATCACAATAATCCACAGCACTCCAGTCCATCAGTTAACATCTGGAGAAGACACGAGCTGAAACAAACCCATCATTAAGACGTGTTTAACTCAAATACGAGTCTATAATCCATAATAACGCTTCCTCCAGTGAGTCAGTGTTCTGGTGTGAATCAGGAGAGAAATCTGCACAGATCAAGCAGCGTTTAAACAGCTCTGAACACATATGTGGCTGGATTTTGATGTGAGAGACAACAGCAGAGGAACATTTTCACTGGAGGAAGAGTTATTATGGATTATAGACTCGTATTTGAGTTAAACACGTCTTAATGATGGGTTTGTTTCAGCTTGTGTCTTCTCCAGATGTTAACTGATGGACTGGAGTGCTGTGGATTACTTGTGGATTATTGTGATGTTTTTATCAGCTGTTTGGACTCTCATTCTGACGGCACCCATTCACGTGCAGTGAGACACTGATGCAATGCTACATTTCTCCAGATCTGATGAAGAAACAAACTCATCCTAATCTCGGATGAACTGAGGGTGAGCACATTTTCTTTAAGTCGTCTCATAATCAGCAGAAGTACCTCCAGGTTTCTGTGTGTCGAGTTGATCTGCAGTCGCTCCTCATCATCGTCTGGTTTTGATGCGTCTGTCTGTATTTTAAGAGACTCCTGCTCTTTCTGTCGGTGTTGTTCTGCCAGCAGCCGCTGTCTCTCCTCCTGTACGCAGACAGAGACCACCGTCACGACTCTGATTCAGACACAAGCTTGGTTTTATTTAGAACTGTTCTCACTGGAGGAAAGAAATGTGCTTTGGAGGCCAAATTTAGTCTCAGTATTGACTTCTAGTTTCACTTTCACATCACTGTGTCCTAATTTAGTGTCAAACAAGGGACTGAGTCTAAGAATATTGCTTATGATGCTCCTCATTTCTAAGTCACTTTGGATGAAAGATAAATGAATAAATGTAAAGGTAAACAAAGGTGTTGTTTACTGAACTGCTGCGTGATTGGTCCAATCACAGAAGTCATTCAAAGCAACAGCACAAACATGAATGTGATTTTGTTTAAATGATCTTAGAAAGGCAAACACACACGAGTCTCTTGTGAGCACTTTAACAAATGATGACCCATATGGCAAAAATATATTTTAAATATATATGTTGCAAACAGCGAAGCTCAATGAAATATAGTTTTGAAACAGAATATATATTTCGTTTCAACCTTCATATACCAAAATATATTTCAGGGGCAAGAAAATAAATTTCCAGTCTTACAGTAGCCTACATTTAGGCTAAATACAAATGTGGATGGCTTACTAGAGGTTAAATGTAGATGATTTAATAATGTTTAATATTTTTATATATTGTAACATTTCGTTTTTTGGAGCATTTTAAATTATGTTCCTTGCTGAGGTTTTTTCAGTTGTGTTTTATGTTCACACGTCTTATAGATAACAAATCAAGTTTTTCTTCAAATGTGACATATGTGAAAGCATTTTCTTGGACTGAAATATATTTATACATTTAAAATGCATTTTCAAAAATATGCAAAAAATGGCCCAAAACATATATTGGTAGAAAATATATTTTGAAACATATACACAGTTTTTGGCCATTTTATGTATATTTAAAAATATATATATTTTAAATGAATAAATATATTTTTTAATATATACAAAAATGGCCAAATATATATACTACCTGTCAAAAGTTTGGGATCAGAACGATTTTAATTTTTTTTACAGAAGTCTCTTCTGCTCATCAAGGCTGCATTTATTTGATCAAAAATACAGGAAAAAATGTAATATTGTGAAATATTATTATGATGTAAAATAAAGTTTTTCTATTTTAATATACATTAAGCTGTAATGTATTTCTGTGATGCGCAGCTGTATTTCCAGCATCATTCCTCCAGTCTTCAGAGTCACATGATCTTCAGAAATCAGTATAATATGCTGATTTATTATCAGAGCTGAAACTGTTGCGGCTTAATATTTTTTTGGAAGCTGTGATACTTTTTTCAGGATTCTTTGATGAATAAAAAGTTTTGTAAAAAGAAATTGATCAGAAGTGATAGCAAAGATTTATATTGTTAGAAAAGATTTATATTTTGAATATTTGAGCAAATACATTTTTTGGCCATTTTTGTATATGTTTTAAATTATATTTTAAATGTATAAATATATTTTCAAAACTTAACAAAAATGTCCAATATATATTAATAGAAACTATATTTACATATTTTAGCAAATATATTTTTTGGCTATTTTTTGTATATTTTGATATTTTTTGCATTATAATGACCGACGGTCAATTGTTCATGTGTTCTGACAGCTGGATCAGTAACTCACTCTCTCCTTCAGCAGACGTTCCCGCTCCGCTTTAGCCTCTCGGAGTTTCCTCTCGATCTCCACTAAATCCAGGAGGCTCTGCGGGCTGCAGAGACCAGAGATCACAGGAGAGTTAGAGACAGAGCTCTCATTCATATCAACACAATCATCACTTAAAGAAACAGTTCACAATACACTTCCATTAGTTAACCTTAACTAACAATGAAACATACTTTAGTAATCCTAGTAAATGTTCTATTAGCTTAACGATAATAGAGTTTATATTTTGTAATGATAAAAACAATCAAGCAGTTGAGATTTGCAATATAGTATTGCTTTACATGAGTAGTATACATTAATACATTTAATAAATTTGGATTTACTCAAATATGTTATTATATATACAGAGCTGTGTAATGATATAAACAAATCGCAGCGAGATTTGCAATAAAGTATATTTCGCTTTGAGTGTACTGTATGTATGCGGATAAAGTTGGAAATACTTAATACAGGTAGATCCTACTTCAAATATATCGCTGGCCGATAATATAGTACATATTATAATAAAGATAATATAATATAGAGAAATTTAAGCCATTATAGACTGAAAATGCTCTCTTCTGGCCGGGTGATGAAATGTTGTGCCAGGTTTAATGTTATTGATTCGTTTAATAAATAGTTTACACTAGAGCCCGACCGATATATCGTTTTGCCGATATTATCGGCCGATATGAGCCTGTCGCCGATATATTGTATCGGCGAATATGCCGCCGATATGAAATTTTTTTTTTTCAGAACATATAACGCAGATAAAATGCTTGAAATGGTGTAATTACTTAGTTTGCGCTCCATTGTTTGCTACTGGTGACCTGGATGAAAGGCTTTAAAGCTTAAGTCTATGGAAAACCATTGAAACTTTGAACGGCCATATCTCCGTAACGGCGCTGCAAATCCGCACCAAACTCGGGGGATTCCTTCAGCTCGAGGAACCCTCTCGAACACGAATCAAGTGTACGTCTCGAGGCCCTCGCGTGTCTTCGATGAGAAGAGGATGGGGTGATTGTTGCTGGTTACTGTATGATGACTGAAATCGCGAAATGGCGTATTAATTTTAAGTTAAATTGTGCTTTGTTGGTATAGTGTCTGGTAGAATATAAAAAATGTTCAGTGTTAAATATTTTTAAATTGTTGTTTTGTAATTGATTTTTTTTTTTTTAAGAAAGACAAAACAGTAAAAAGCACATTTTGGCTATTTAATTTATGTAATCACCACATTTGAGTGATCATTGCAAAAAATGTGTTTATATATATATATATATACTCTGTCTATGTATGTACTGTATTCTATATATAATACCAGTTAAATGTTTGGACACACGAATGGGAAAGTGTCCAAATTTTTGACTGGTACTGTACTATAATATACACAAAGAATATCGGCATCTGCCTTTTTTAACTCCCTAATATCGGTATCGGCCCCCAAAAACCCATATCGGTCGGGCTCTAATGCACACTATATGTTCGATTTGAGAGATTTTTTGGTATTGGTTGATAGTGCGAAAACTCCCACCCTCTATTTTCAAAAATGAATTAAGAGGAAATGAACCCGAACCAATCAAACCTCAACCTATCAAACCGCCAACGCTAACAAAACACACGCAAATACTTACGGAAAGCTTTTCGACAATTGCGGCTTTTCCCTGGAATTGCTTGTACTATAATATACACAAAGAATATCGGCATCTGCCTTTTTTAACTCCCTAATATCGGTATCGGCCCCCAAAAACCCATATCGGTCGGGCTCTAGTTTACACATACACACACACACACTCTCACACACACACACACACTCATACAAACACACACACACACACACACACACACTCTCACACACACACACACACACACACTCTCTCACACACACACACACA